TGGCGGTCAGTCTTAATTTGTTTAGCTAAAAGCATTTGCCGAAAAAGCCGGTGCCGGTAGCAACAAGAACTGCGCGGAACTATGCAAAAAACGCATATTCGCACAGGTAGCCCGTGCGTTAGCCAATTATTGCTTGCATGCAAATTGCAAAAACGCATATTGTGACGACCCATGGTGTGCGTGTGTATGTTCGTGTGTGTGTGTGTGTGTATGCTCGTCTGTCCGAGTATTTCAACTCGCCACCCAAGCAAGCTCCAGCGCCAAAATTTTGCCTGCGAGTTCCCTTACCAAGTGCCACTCCAGGACCGCGGTACCAATTCTCACACAAGTCTGGCCCCTGCGCACAAGAGGATGAAAGTTTTGGCAGAAAAACCGTTAAATCGGGAACCAGAAAAGCTAGAAAGCTGAAATTATGGGGTTGTGTCCCATAATTTCAGCTTTCTAGCTTTCCTGGTTCCCGATTTAGCGGTTTTTCCGCCAAAACTTTCTAGCTATTATGGTGTTAGAGTTCTAACCCCATAATCTTTGAGTTCTAACTCCATAATTCCAGCTTTCTAGCTATTATGGGGCTAGAAAGCTGAAATTATGGGGCTAGAACTCAAAGATTTTAAATTCATTCCCCCAGTTTTGCGTAATTTCCGCGTACGGTCTTGTGAGGGTCTCTGGCGCAAAATCACTAATTTGGGAAACCAGGGATGCTGGGAGGCTGAAATTTTAACGAATGTTTCCAGCCCATGTACAAATTGAAGTTAACAAATTCAGCCCCCGGGCATGCGTGGTTCTCACGTTCGGCCCCATGAAAATTTTCTGCGAGAAAATTGCTAACTCGGGACTCAGGGAAGTTGCGAGGCTAAAACTTTAAAGGGATATTCCCAGGCTTCGTGAAAGCTAAAAATATCAAATTTAGCCCCCAGGTACGCATGGTTCTCAAGTACGGTCCTGTAAAAATTTCCGGCGGGAAGAATTGCTAACTCGGGAACCAGGGAGGTTGGGAGAATGAAATTTGAAGGGGATGTTCCCTGTCCAACTACCGTATAAACAGTTAACTTCTTGGACTTCAAGGAACAGTATTTCAAACATTTCTAGCTACTGGGTTTCTGAGCGTTCTCATTACAGCCCGAAATACTGCAAAAACGCATGATTGTACGGGCTCATCCGATGCGCATCGCCAATGATTTCTTCTGCAACAGCATTTTCGTAGTTGCAGAGATCCCAGAATTCGACCATCGAGGTTGAGCGTACTCGGGTCATTTTGCGCACTTAAGAAGGTTATCAACGAAGCACTTATAGCCCTGGTCAATATTTGTCGTCATAGTATACGACTAGGTGACTACTAGTAATCATGCTAAAGTCTGGTCAGGCACGAAGCTCGGGTCTATTCTTTGGGATGTGGCTAGATCTTGACTAAATGTCTGCAGAATGATTCTCGGATGGACAAGATCGAAATTTTGTCGGGCTTTTAAGCTACGTAGGCTCGGGTTTCCGCAAACCAGCGCTTTTGAAATTTTCCGTCGTTGTCGCTACAAACGTCACAGCCGTTTTCATTCTGGAATTCCGAATGGACTGCCGAAGTTAGTTCCGGGTAGAAAGTCGAGGAACTAGTGCGAAAGACCGCACGGGCCGCATGGATCTCCTAGGTAGTGGTCTGAGGTACGAGGCGCCTTGTTTTCTCTCATTACGCAGCCTTGCGATTTTGATTGCAACTGTCGTTATCATTACTGTTTACTTGCCAGGAAGCTCCTCTAACACAAAGAAAGCTGGGATATATTTTGCGAAGAAACTGCACTTCACACTTGCAGCACTCATCTGCCAAGCAAGTGACTTGACTAGCTTATTTAGTTTTTGCTTCTATAAAAATTCTAGTTTCTCGCATTTTGCGAATTTAAGTCTGAGCATTACAATTATTTCGGTAATTCAAGATAAAAAAAATTCAGATAAGCACAATCCACGATTATTGACTCATTCACCGTCTCGTCACTGATACGAATAAGAAAGGAAGCAAGTGTTCGTATTTTGAACATAACTACTATAATTCTATTGCCCCTGATTTTAATACAAATTATTGGCGACATACTCTTGGATAATTTTGAGAGTTTTTTTTTTTTTTTCGTTTCTTTTTTCAGTTAAAATCTAGCCTCAGAAGGAATCTGCCAATCCTTAACAACTGGAACTGGCGAAGATGACTTGCGAGACCATTGCCTGATGATAAACCTGACTTCTCCTGAGCCGAACAAAATCGTTTTTTCATCTTTTGGGTAAAGATATGTTTGTTCCTACGCCATGTTTGGCAAAGCCAAAGGACGTCGCATGGCGTTCATTCGAGTGTTACAGGAAATGATTCGTGAGTTCATTTCTCGATAGAAACCCTATAATTGTGGGACCTCATCAAAAGGTCTGGGCGGTCTGATAGCGGCAACCGTCCAGTACCTGGGATTCCTAGCAGCCCCTCGGTCTTCGGCTGCCGACCCATCGCCCCAGATCAGGCTGAAAGAAGCGAAAGGCACTTATTCATGTTGTCCCCTATAATACGCTATATAACGCACATTTCGCGCTCTGCATTTATGGCTACTTGACCTTTACTGCATTACCAACTAATACTCAGGCTAGTATTGTTTTGTACAATTAAAGTTTTGTCTGACAAGTGCAGCGCAATGTCTTTTTGTAATGTATAGGGATCCCAGGGTTTCTGCCTCGCCATAACAATACCCTTCCCATTCGTTGCCACTGCTGCACCACAACAAGGTGTCGAGTTGGAATTTTTAAAGAAATCTACGATATATTTAAGAAGAAAGCTTTCAACTGTCGAATTAAAGAAACACTGTTATATACTTCTTATTCCTACCAAAAATTCATGGCTATGGCACCGTTCTGTTTTCCCTTGGAGCACTTATGGAATATTTAAAAATAACCAGACTTAATACTCTTACTTTTGTGTTAACTTTTCTCACTTCATTCAGCGGAGTTTATTGCATTCCAAATGAGCTCCTCAGCCAAACTTACTGCCTCCAAAATGAGTTCGGCACCTCACTTCTAGTTAAAGTCGGGTACCGTTTTGGCTAAATTGGGCACAATTTCGCCGCTTATCGTCAGTTTCATCCCAGCTGGGTGATTCTAGCAGCCAAGGAAAGCGAAGGCACCTTCTCTTTGATTCCAGGGTTTCGAAAAAAAAAATTAGAAACGTATTAACAAGGACTAACCAATTTCAAAATCCTGCGTAAGCTCGGAAACTGAAGTGACTTCCTGAATCCACATTTCAATTCGTACAACAACAGGCCTTGAAGGCAATTTATGACGATTGTAGCGTAAAGCGGTTTCCGTAAGTAGATGATCCATAACATCAGTATCATTTGAGCACCTTTGTGTCGTATCCATGGCTTGCGTAGCAGCAGCAAGGACGAGTAGTTGCTGCAGCAATAGTAGTACTCGAAGGCAGTATCTATGAATGGACCAGCCTGGAATCAGTGCTTGTAGCATGGCCGCCTAATAGCGGACAAGCTTGTTCGTTAGCGGCGCCGTTATCGGTTGGCTTGGTCTGCTAAGGGCCAACCCTTTTAGGCCTAGGCCTAGAAGCCAGGAGGCTAAAGAGGAGAGCCAACCTTCCTCCATACTCATCAATATTCAAAAGGAAAGTTTTCCTCGACGGCTGCATTCTCCAGTCCACTTAAAAGCGCCACCCAACCTTTAAATGCCGCTAATGCTGCTTGCCGCTTCGAGTGCATAACGCGCGCTGCCTGTTGCTACTGCTGCTACTTGCTGCGCCTCATGCTGTTTTGCGCGCCGCTGATAATCACGAAGTACACGAGATTCCATCATATTGAATGCTTCCAATTCATTTCCGTGGAAAAATTACAAACGACAACGCGTATATCTCAAAATGAATGCAAATCGCAGCTGCAACACTGCAAAAATCACATCAGTCCAACACACTTTCACGCACTTAGTACCAAACTAGCTTCGCAAAACGAATATTTCAAAGTTGCTTAGTCATTTGATTCCAGACACGCTGGCATAGCCAGAACTTTTGATAAAGATTTTTGTGTGTTTTCTTTATCACCAGTGCGACAAAAAAACCTGATGGTAAGGACATACCTCAGCTTTTTCGGCCACAGATTTCAGATCTTAATGTAAGCTGGAATTTTGGAAACCTTTGATCATGTTTGAGGCCATTTGTATTTTCTTGTATTTTCAGGTCCAAGTTCAAACCGGTTTTGGAATCATAAGCCGGAGAAGACTGATTGTGATGCTTTCACTGCAACCTCAATTCCAAGTTACAAAACTAAGATTTTCAAGCTTAGTTCGTAATATAACGGGAACTAATCAATCAGGAATTAGATTTTAAATCTTTCTGTGCTTTCACCTACAATCTCACATTCAGCTGCAATCTGAGATTACAACTCCAGAATAAAGGAAGCCTGAACTGTGGAACATTTCATGCAATCTGTGGGTTAAAAAGGGAACAGAATGTTGTTTTCACGTGTACCTGCCCAAACACGAAGTGAACCAACAACAGCGCATTTTAGAAAACGTTTAACTGCGTGGTATTATGTATCATTATTTGTTTAGAAAGTACATAGATAGAATGGTGGATACATTGAATGTACATACGTAGAATACTTCTACCATGAATATAGAATGCGAGACTATCATGCTCCTACTCAATCGGATCAAAACTGTGTGATTAATTATGAAGATGGGAGCAGTCGGAAACAGACAAGAATGGAGAAGTTGCCAGCTGCACCAATGGTGAGAGGACACGCAACGATGAAATAACAGTTGATCAGTGTCATTGCCTGTTTTGCCAGTGTTGCAGTGGCATTAAGTCGGTTTCGTTTAATGTTTCGCCTTGTCTTCCTGCTCATACTCTTCGATTTTTGATTAACGAAAAATGGTCTTATATTCAACAATTTGACAGCGCACCGACTGCCTGTGCGAAAATACGTTTTTTACACAGTTACTCCGCAGGTTTTTGTCGCTAACAGCACTATTTTTTTCTGCAGATGCTTTTTACCTAAAAGAATTGAGACAGGCCACCACAATATTCCTAATAAACTCGGTAGTGGTCATGCTCAAAATAATTCAGCACTCTAGATGTTCTGGTTACTGAGTCACGTCAAATCTCACGTGCTTGTAAGTAAAAGAGATGAGAATGCTGTTTTCACGTGTACCAGCCTAAACACGATCTTTGGCCATGCTCAGAAAGTTTCGGCACTCAAGCAGATTTGGTTATGGAGATACGTCAAATTTCATGCAGTCGTACGTAAGAGAACCCAGGCTGAAACACACCTGGCGGGCCGGTGCGATTATGCGTTTTTGCACTTTTTGTGCCGTAGCAAGATCGCAAGGAATCAAAG